TGGAAAGAATATAAATATTTGATTTTTTTAAAATTTTGAAATATCGTTTTGAATAATTGATTGCACTTCAATTTACTAGAATGTTGAAAAGACCCTCTGGAAAAGATAGAGAAAGTAGAACGGAAGATTCTCCAATCACAAGAGCGCATTCAAAGTCATTCATCGACTTGTTCTCCATTAGCCAATAATAGTATTCGTAACAGAGGTCTCTGCGGCGGAATGATACAATCACGGGGACGCTACCCATAATTCTGCGCTGGCTTGTGTTGGTTTCCGGACCCCTCGTCTTTCTTTATCTTCTGGGGCTTAGGTGCGCCATCATCGTTGCCGGGATATTGTGCTGGAGATTTTTTTAAGTGTTACAGTATTTCGTTCGTTAAGGGATAAGAATTAATTTTATTTCTAAGGGGTATGTCTGGTGGTCCCACTGAAATGAAAACTGAAGGAGAACGCGATACAAATGGACCCCAGGAGCAACCTGGGCAGAATTCTCACCCCGGCGGTCCGCGCGGTGGACGTGGCGGCGGTGGCGGTGGTCCTGGACGCCAAAGGTTCGGCGGCCAAGGACGTGGAGGAAGAGACGATTCAAGGATGAGAAATCAAGATGTAAGTAATTTTGGTAATTTCCCGTATTCCGCAATTTGTAAGTGACGCTAAAAGATCATGCACGCTTAAAATAAATATGCTTGTTTTATGGTAATGAAAGAACGACCTGCTTCACTTTTATTGACTCTTATTATTGGCTCTTGCTTTTGGCTCTGTTTTTTCGCGCTTTGTTTGGCTTTGCTTTTACGATTGACTAGAAACGGAATATTTTGTGAGGTATTTCCCTTTCCCAATTTGTGATCGCAATGGCCGACACCGGCTTCGTATTGGCTTGGCTAAACGAAATGTAATATTTTAAATCTTATGTTTAGATTCACAAATGCTTCTGTACAGGCTTGGTTTAATGTGAATTGTATAGATTTTACAACCCTTTTTCTCAGCCTATGTATTTCCGGGGAATTGATTTGCACGAATTTAGTCTTTCGGATTAGGCTAGCATCTTGGCAGTTTGAAAGATAGGAATGGAAAATTACTTATTACCTGGAAGTTTCATTGGTCTTGGTGTCTTACTAACGTTCATTAACAGCCGTATGAATAACTTTTTCCATTAAAAACGAACTGATCCTTTAGAAACGGATGTGTGAAGTTGGAAATGATTTGTTTTGGCAATTTTAACTGATCATGCTAGGAAGTGGAATGGAAAAGAATCGTAAAGTAAATATTTCAGTAGCTTGTTTATCAAAAGTAGGTAATGGTGTACAAATTCCATTAACTGTAATTCATTTTTGTTTCTTCAGTAACTCATGCATTAAATGTTACAGGATGTGGTAACAATTGTGGCAAATCTTGTGTGGTATTGTACATCTTATAAAAAGGGCTAAATTTCTGTACTGAGTAAGAGATCTGAACATTGTGATCATAAACGGTGTTGTTTCGATTCAAGAAGTTACAGGCTTTGTGCAGTCTGTCCTGTTGTAATGCTAGTCTCCTGTATAGATGTGAATTTCTTACAATATTTCAGCAGTGTGATTAAACGTTGGTCCCCACAGATCAAGTGTGAGTAGGCTTTAGGTTTTTTGAATTGTGGAAGTGTAAGTTACAAATGAAAATGTAAGGAAAATGCACAATATATTCAAATACGTAG